TCTTTCCCTCTGTCCCCTCTGATGTTCTCTCTTTTTTCTACACCAACTAACCAGTCCCCTACAAATTGAAACCATAAACTGTTTGAAAAATCCTGCGAATTTTAAATTTTAAAATTCATAGGTGAAAATGGTCATTAACTAATGCTAGCTTAATTCCAATTTTAAGAAAAATGTATATATAAGCTCGTTTTGTTAAATTTAACCTGGGGGATATAAATAAATACAGGATCCGATGAGTAAATAGTTGTCATTTTATATTTTTAATTTCGCGCATACGCTTTGTTTGTTTTTGATTTTGTTGACTGCACAGCATAGTCGGGTCAGTTGGGCACCGTCTGTGAGAAAATGAGCACCATGACGCAATTCACTCCACCAGAAATTTGGAAACGGCATGCTGTACTGCGTCAGAAGCTCCAATATGAACATTTCAGAGTGTATGGGTGTCAATCTGAGGACAGTACAGAGGATTCTCAAAGAATTTGGATGAGTCTAATGCTGATTACAAAGGTACGGCAGCTTGTAAAACTTGATTGTTCTGATGAGAAAGAACTCCCGAATTTATTGGTGAGGACCTCAGACTCAAAACGGAGGTCTACATCAAGTGCCTTGACGAGGTAATGCTGCCCTGGGTCAGTAACAGGGCGCTTCTTCATGCCACACAAACTGGAGAACACAATCATGGCTCTCAGACAATTTCTACGACCACGTCACCCTTTACATCTAGCTACCTATCTCCACAGATTGAAATTCCCATTAATTATTATGTGTGGGCACAGTTCAGCAATCGAGCGACCAATAAAACTACTTGTAACATCAAAGATGACTTGATTGCAAGGGTTAGTTGTAGTGACCAACTTGAACTTGAGATCATCTAGAAGAGATGTAGGAAATCGTCTGGAGGCCGTGGTTGGAGTCAATGGAAATTTTTTTGAATAAATTTACTCTTTATTATTTCCAAATATTTTTGTGCAATTTTGGTAAATATATCTGTTAAAATGCGATGTCAGTGCTATTTTCATTTTTGTGTAATTTAGATGGTAATTAATCTATTGCACCCTGTATATCTGCCAAAAGGCAATATAAATAAAGACTAAAGGAAAACTATTCCTTGACAATGCGTTTCGTCCTTTGATGGGTTTTATCAAGGCACAACGTATGGCGTTTATTTTGCTACATGTATTTACAAAGAGACGTAATATATATATATATATATATATATATATATATATATATATATATATATATATATATATTTTTACAAATTCATGAATTATTCACACAAGAACAAATGTAAAGGTTAATGATTTAATTGGCGAGAAATCCATCATCGCAATCATTTCAAATAATATACAAAAACCTCCGAATCCGTTATGAATGAAAAGATCCTTGTTTCTATAAATTTCTGCCGTATTAGTTCTTATTTTTACTACAAGCTTTCGTCTGTTCCTACAGACATCTTCAGGTATGGAATAGATGTTGCTCTTGTTTTCTCTCTCTCTCTCTCTCTCTCTCTCTCTATATATATATATATATATATATATATATATAATCACTATATAATGTCGCTTTTGTACAAACGCTGACCTGGGTGCCCTACCCTTACCCGAAATGGTATTAAGCATAAGAATGAGAGAGTAGGACATTTTTTGTATCATTGACATTTTAACATGGAAAAAACTTCCACCGTTCATCTGTATAGTAAACATTTAAAATTGTTTCGTAAAAGTTTGTTACTGGCTCGTAACAGTTTTTTCTTGGTATTCCATTATTTGATTTATAACCGGAAAAAGTTATTTCGTCTGAAGAGCTAACTGAATGTTAATTACCCTTCTCAAAACTATAGAAAATACTAAACTATTCCTTGTTTTTATCTAGAAATGTGAGCCAGATATTACCTCCATTTTTTTTAATACAGATTCTTTGCCTATTTTCTTTGAATATTTTTCTGGGGTAGCATATTTTGAAATACGTTTTTAACATTCAAAAACCTATATCACCCACCATAATTTCCATTCAACCACTATTTTCTGTTCAGTTGGGAAAACTTAGTTTATGGAAATGCCCGCATTAAAAGATATGCAAAAAAGATTGCCCATGTAGAAAAATGCTATAAATATAAATCATTACCAGTACTAGTAATGGAAAATGTTACAATGCTTTGGAGCTCCTCTATACATACCGATCACACTTATAAAGGCCAATCGAACAAATATAATAATAACAATTTCAAAAAGTGCTATTTCATAGTTTGCAGAGTTTCAGAATATATAGATCTGGTAATAGAGATTGAATCATTTTAAACATAACCACTATTCCGATAACAATAAGGTTTGGTTTGGTTTGGTTTGTTTTACAGCATATCAACCTCAATGGGTTATTTAATGCCAACACAATTTTTATTGCTGGTCTACTCCAATAGCTTCATATCTCGCACCTCTCGCCTGTGGAACTCCCTTCCCTATTCCTGTTTCCTTGAGAGCTATAATCTCCAACTATTCAAATGTAATGTCAATCGACATCTCCAGTTGCCTTGATCTATTCACTATCCTTCTCCTCATCCTTTCCTCTATTCACTCCTATCTGATCTTGCTCCAAATCTTCAAAAATCTGATTCTGGGAATATTTTTTCCTTGAAGAAATCTATAGCTGATAATATTTTTTTCAAAAAATTTTGTATTGTTGGTATTTTTTTAAAGTAATGCTGATAATAATTTTTCCTTCAAAAATTATTGCTGGTAATAATTTTTTTTTATTAAAATTATTTCTGGTATTAAAAACTATTTTTACACACATTTAGTTGTTAACTATTTGCCCATAGCTGGCACCCTGATAGGTGCTACCACCCCGGGTCAAGGTGGACCTGGGAACACGAACAATTAAGATGTGGTTCCATGCTCCTCAAAACTTCCTAATCAGAGGCCTTGCTGTTGGACGTAGTTTATCGTCTTACCCAGGACGCGGATGTGGTTTATCGTCACACCCAGGACGCGGATGTAGTTTATTGTCTTACCCAGGACGTGGATGTAGTTTATCGTCTTACCCAGGACGCGGATGTAGTTTATCATCATACCCAGGACGAGATAATAACGACACTTGAAATGGTGAAAAAGAATATTGATATGCACATTAAGAAAACCCATCACTGAGATAAAAAAAAAGACTGCGCGCATGAACAAAATATTCTGGGACTATTTTATTCAATTCGTTCAAGATTGGCTCTTTGATACAATCATTTACAAAGTCGTTTACATGGGGATTTAGTCAGAAAAAAATTCATAGGCTTAAAAACTTTTTAAAAACCTACCAAGTCAGCAGTTTTCTGGTTTCTGTTCCCGACTGGTAGTTAGGGACCCGAACTCTTATGTAGCGTCTTGAGAGTTGCATAACATGGGGTTCTTGCGGTGCCATGTCATGCATGGAAGGGTGTCTCTGCAAATTCCTCCGGTGGGCAGTCCCGAGGCCACACTATGTTGCAATCTGTGCCAGTTCCCTTCCTGCACATGTTATATTAGCCAACCGACTGCTACTACTATCCTAGGTCTTTCATTTCCAAAACACACTATGACTATAAGCATAAGACAAAACTAAACCAGCTCAACAAAAATCACTTAAAGCCCTCAACCTTTCTTTCTCCAACATTCGTTCTTCTTTGAAAATTATTCGGACATCCTAACTCTCTGTGACACTAATCAATTCCTCTCTCTGATTTGTCGATTCCTGACTATTCCTCTCCTCTGGAAGGATTCTAATGTCCACATTCATGGCCTGGGAGTTTATGTTCCTGAACATATACTCCTGACTAGGGAACTCTTTCTTGAATCTTCGTCTCAGTCCGCTATCTCTTCTTTCTCTACCGTTTGTCTTCCCCTCATGACTGTTGCGTCATAATATAGACACGGCTATCTCCCTACACCCGTTTTCAAATATATTTGTGCTTAGTGACATTAATGCCCTAAATGTCAGTTGGCTAAAGCCCTCTATCATTGAGACCCAATTGGCATCCAAACACTAAAATCCTCAAATTACTGAATCTCTCACGCAGGTGGTGGACTTCCCCAAGGGTTTCTCCAGTAACCCTGACGGCCACGCTTATCTTCTAGATCTATTTTTTAACTCTGTCACGGGCTCATGTCGTAATATGCTCTCTTGGCAACGTTGATCATGCGGTAGGGTCTGTAAAGATTTCTTTCTGCCCCCTTACCAGCTAAGAACCTCCTACAAGCAGAATATCTTTCTGTTATCAACGTGCGGATTTGGACTCGTTCTGTGACTTCATTCGTGACGTCCATTCGAACGCAGTTTTTAATCATCTTGTTCATAAGTGCGCGTCTGAGGTCTCCTCCTGGCATCGACCTTTTTATTCCAGCAAGGAAATACCAAGGTAAACCGCACTCATCTCTTTGGTTCTCACCTGCATACTTGACCCACAGGAATCACTTTTCTGGCTATACCAGCGACACGTTTGATTACAACAGACGTCTCTTTGTCTCTGCTCGTAACGAGTTCAAGCGTACACTCAAAAAAGTGAAGTTACTATTTGCTGATAGAATAAAACAACGTATAGCATCTCGCAATTTGGCGTCTTTGCAATAGTGTGCTGAATAACAGTAAGTCTTAAATCCCTCGTCTATTGAATCAATTCGAAGTCCTGACATCAACAGTAGATAAATTCTCTTCCAACTCTCAACTTATTTGGAATTACCCACACCTGATTTTCCCTTTAGAACAGAAGATCTACTGAGCGATATTCGCATAATCCTGTCACAGGTCTCGGACATAATTTCTAAATTAGACTCCGATAAGCAAGCGGAGTTGATAGGCCTAAAGAAATGTTCTTCCGAACTGGCACCAGTTCTCTCCAAACTCTAAAAACATTGACTCGCTGCTTCCTGCTTTCTAGCTTGTTGGAAGTCCGCCTCTGTAGTTCCTGTTTTTAATAACTATGGAGAACCTTCTGATCCCTCTATCTGTCGCCTGCTGATCCCTGTATCTGTCGCCTTATGATCCCTGTATCCGTCGCCCTATTTGTCTCCTACCGCTTTCGGTAAAGTATTGTAGGCTTTAATCAATGCTGAAATGGTTAAGCATCTTATCTCTTACGACCTACTCTCCGACAAACAATATAGCTTCCGTTTTGCCTAGTTTACCGCTGACGTACTTCCTGCCATCACTGAATATGTATATCAAGCCCTTGATAATAACGGCGAAGCTCGAGCTGTGACCCTACATATATCGAAGGCGTTTGACAGGGTTTGGCATTCGGGTCTTCTAATTAAGCTCCAGGGCTACGGTATTACAGGAAGAATGATTGATTTAACCCAATCGGTCCTATCACATCATGAAATGAAGGTCGTTTTGAACGGGTTCGCTTCCAGATCCTTTCACACGAACGCGGGTGCCTTAAATCTTTCTCGATAGTTTCTTCACTTCTACACATGCTCTTCTATCTTGTCTTGGTCTTTTCTCTGATCTCAGATCCATGTTGACCTCTTCCCGTTTCGAGCATTGCTATTTCCGATGTTAGTTTTTGCGCTGTTTTATAATTCAAAGCACGCTTTGAAAATATTTCCTAGAAAACGAACTGGTAAGCAAACGTAGTCAGCAACGGCGGAGAATATTTGAATCATCTACGATTATACACTAACGGCGTTTTACTAATATCAAATTCATCGGATGAACTGCAAAAAAGACTAAACGAAGTGAATAGCAAAAGTCTCATGCAAGGTTTAAAGTTGAATAGAAATTAGACAAAAGCTGCGTTCCGAAAAGCATCAGAAAAACAGACGATAAAGAACTGGAAGAAAATCTAGAAGTACATCCACTGACGACAGGTGATAATATTACAGAAAGAAAATAAAATGAAACAGCGCATAATGATTAGTTGAAAAATAGCTCATAAAAAATAAGGCAATGAAAAGCACGTTGTCAATATACATAATACGTAAAGTGTGTAATGAATGTATAATGTCAGTTATGACATAAAAGTTTGAAAGAAGGAAATTAATAAAATCGGTCGAAAACAAAACCAGTTATATCTATCTATCTATCTATCTATCTATCTATCTATCGTCATATTCTTCTATTTCAGTCTATTCAAATCTATCTATCTATCTATCTATCTATCTATCTATCTATCTATCTATCTATCTATCTATCTATCTAATTCTGTTAAGATCTATCTATCTATCTATCTATCTATCTATCTATCTATCTATCTATCTCATTCTGTTCAGATCTTTCTCAGTCTGTTCATATCTATCTATCTATCTATCTATCTATCTATCTATAAAGAAATATAGTCTTAAAATGTGCTATATTTATGGGATAAAGTGCTCAATATTAGAGATAGAGCGTGTGTCAATATAAAATACGATTGCATCTAGCATGAAACAGACTGTCGCATCTAAATGTTGACTTCTTTGTTCACTTTTATATTTATATGTATATATTTGTGTGAGTGTATGCATGTATATTTATATATATGTATTTACATATATATGTGTATATATATATATATGTGTGTGTGTGTGTGTGTGTGTGTATGTGTGTGTGCCTGTGTGTAATAAAAATATAGCTTTCAGGTATGTTATATTTATAACACTAAATTTCACCTGGTTATATTTGTGGGTAAAAGTGTTCAGTATCTGAGATAGAGCGTATGTAAATATAAAAGTGGACACAGATTAATATTAGGCGGCGACAGATTTTAGCATACTTGAACGCAATCATGTGTGTTGTGTTTGGGCTTGACTCTTCATATACGCTCGTCAATGGTGCATCATGTGTAGTGAGATCTATTGTATTACTCTGACGGTTACTGGGTGGTGGGTAATGGTTATACTTAAAATATATATATATATATATATATATATATATATGGTGCAAGGGATAAATTGTTGTCAGACTGACGTAAAAATGAAAATAACACTGATATCTCATTTCAGCAGATATGTTTATTTTCATCTACCGGCCTGAATATTCGAGAAATATTTTTAGAAAATTATGCGCTTTTCCAAAAGGATTTGATCAAGCGTTCTGTAGATGAAACTGACATTAGATCTGATCTCTCTCTCTCTCTCTATATATATATATATATAAGTATCGATAATTTATCGGTGAACTAAGGAAATATATTCTGATGTCTGGACGGAGAACTTTTCAGCATCCTATAGTATGTGCCTGTATATATATATTTATATATATATATAAATTCGTGAAATACATCTGTTTCATAGTTTTGCACACAGCAGCAATGATATTTTTAACTGAGGTTAAATTATCGATAAATTATTGTTGAAATAAAGAAGAATTCCAAACATATTCTTTGCTGAGAAATTTTCAGCGCAGTATATATATATATATATATATATATATATATATATATATATATATATATATGCATTTGTCTAGACTGTCTATGCGTAGCATCTGCATTATGATAAATAGAACCTGGCTTTATTGTGAAACTCTTTGTAGCCGAATGGCCAAATCGTGTCCAGACATGAGAGCAAATACCTGTTACCTGTCCACTCCGATAAAGCACATTGTTGTGCTAATGTCAAAAGTACTCGGGATAAAATATGTATCAACACGGTAAGTTTCTCTCATATATAAATAATGGCGCCAAAAGGCAAGTCCATGAATATAAACGGATTCAGTTGAAAATAAGTAGACAAAACTTGTCTAAATTATTCAATGAAACAAGTCTGAGTATATATATATATATATATATATATATATATATATATATATATATATATATATATATATTTGGGGACCTTGTCGCATGTAGTGTACTAGGTTTCTGTATTTGGTCCTTCAAATAGTGTTGTTGGTTCTTCACAAAGCTTTCACCACTATAATCAAATCATATGTGCTGGTGTCTGGATTGTCGGTTCCAAGGAACTGAACTGCTTGTCCCTCATACGTCGAATACGACGGGAGATTTAAACACACACACACACACACATACACACGCACACACACACACACACACACATATATATATATATATATATATATATATATATATATATATAACGCCAACATATTATATAGGGCACTTTGCAAATTAAGATCGAAAATTCTAAAAGCCATTAGAATACAAAAGAAACAACTCACACACAGATGATACATGCTTTTCTGTTTGACCGTTCCATATGACGTCGCTCTGAACTTGTTCCAATCCCAGCAATCGAAAAACGACAATAAATATTGCTCACACTACTGATAACACCCGGTTCTTGACAATGATTGTGATAGTCGAAATTACCCGAATATAACAGAAAAAACATAAATCTTGGACATTTTATTCATAACTTCAATCCCGATATACCACAACATATCCAGAAATTGGAAAAATATAATAAAAAAGTTAGCCTGATTTTGTTGCTGGATTTTAATAAAACTTCGTATAAGTTCGACCCGAAGAACATCACAGTAAGTAATGGTCTTTTTTCTCTTTTTTAAGGAAAGCACATCGTCTTCACCCCGACTGTATTTTTCTCGAAAGCTCATATCTGCTGTTTTGTTATATAGTAGACACTTTGTATTTGAAATAGAGGACAATTATTTATTTATTAAACAGTGTGCATTACGTCTTTTGGCCTGGTCATTCGTGATATATATATATATATATATATAACTTTATCTTTACCATCACCTTCAACCTGAGTCCAACGACATTCCATTATTTCTAGATATCTTGTTACTCAGAAACAACAACGAACACCAGTTAGTAGTTTACAGGAAAATTACTGTCAAGTATGACTTGGTCAATTTTTACTCTGACCATAATAAGATTAAATCGTGAATAATTATAGGATTTTGTTTAAGAATGCTATGAATCTGCAGCCTTCAATACTTAGCCAAAGAAGAAATATACATTCCTTATAAAAAAAAAACACCAATATACTTATCATCCCCAACAACAAAAGAAAAGTACACAAAATATACGACCACAAAAAAAGATAAGAACGTTATTAAGAACAATAACTTAGATAAAAACAGATACAAAATACTATCTACAAATTCCATAACATTCACTATTTAAAACAATCTATCCAATCTGAACAACATGAAAATAATTAGAACAACATCCAAAATGCTCATGGATATGATCAGAACCTAAAATACATATAACAATAATAATTCTGAAGCAGTTATATACAAAATAAATTCCCGAACCGTTGGTCACAATACATTGGTGAAACTTGAAGAAATTAAAAAAAACCTTATCTATGTCCACAAAAGAGACCGTATACACAACGATCTATCAAATGTATTAATCATACATAGAAATAAATTCCACCACGACTTTGACCAAGCGAATGCCAAAGACATTTAAAAAGAAAGTAATATACTAAGAAGGAAAATTCTCGAAAGTGCCGCTATCAAATGTTATCAAAAGATAAATATGCACCCTAGATTCTTCCAGATATCTCCTTTTCTGTAAGAATTACTAATATCCCAAGACAAGATACATGACAAGAAAACAAAAAAAAATTAAAAATAAACGGTAAAAATCCTCAACCTCTCGTTGTTCAAAACATAAATCAATCCCAATCCAAAATAATTTAAATACTAATTTACATATATATATTCATTCAGGCCGGTAAATGTTATTTAATACTGTTTATTATAAACAGAGCATTTACTTAAATACTTGTATCTATAAAAAAAGAACGTTAAACCTAAAAATGTCTTTATATATATATATATATATATATATATATATATATAGAATAAATATATATATATATATATATATATATATATATATATTAAATACTAATATACACATACATAAAAAATACTTGTCTGACTTTCGTTTATTAGGCATTGAACTGTATCACCTCTCGTCCATGAACTTGTCTGACTTTTTTGAAGAACCAATAACGTTTTTGCTCTAGTATATAAATACTTGTCACCAAATAAGAATTCGTACATTTGGCTTAATAAAATTCCTCAGGGAGCGAAACGCGTCGGCTAAGGTAAGTTTTCCTTTTAGCCAAAAAAGAAAAAAAAAGTTTTCTTTTTTGTCAAAAAAGTTTTCCTTTTTGTCAAAAAAGTTTTCCTTTTTGTTGCTAATAGTTTTGGTGAATTATTTTTGTTTTAGTTTGACATGTTGCTGAGAGCTTGGAATCTTACTGAATCTGGGACAAACTGAACCATGAACAATGAATCAAAGTAGGGTGGCTGGGAAATATTACTATAAATGTTATTGAAATTGAAAGTTGAAATCATTGCAAAGTTTGAAATTGGCGAGTGTGTGTGCCACTCAGTGCATGCGTGTCTGCAATTGTGAATTGATCACCATGGAGATCGCTTTGAACATTACAAATAAAAGTGCTTGGTAGAGATTTTTTTAAAATAATTCCTCCACAACGTGAGTAAATAGTTAAACATGTATTTTAATTGATTTCTGCTTTCTTGTATCTTGTAATTGTTGTAGCATACCTACGGACGATGATGTGTATGTCCCCATTTATATAAATACAGTAGTAAATACTGTATGTTGGTCTGCAGTTGGAGATTCGTTTCCAGCTGGGGTGGTCAAACTCTCTGCCTCCAGGCAAAGAGGATCCACAGACGAGGTTGTGTCTTGGGAAACGGCTGCCCGACCCCGTTTTATACTAAATACGGAGAATTTTTGGCTGAGCTTACGGGCTCGGATATCCCACATTAAAATCGGCCTTGTGTCACATCTGACCGCGTGGGGCGGTTGGCAGATACCCTGCAGTTGGAGATTCATTTTGGAATTCACTTGACCAATTCATTTTGGAATTCACTTGATTGGTCAAAAACATAGAGGATTATAATACAAACTCTCCAGCTACGGAATCTATGGAATTATCAAGTCCTTCCTAACAGGTAACCAATGGAGGTCATTTTTAGTGGTCAGACATCTGAAGCTTACTCGGTCATAGCTTCTTTCTCTAAAAAAAAAAAAAAACGACCAGAGACTAAGAACCTATTCAGATATTCAGTGATTATGTATGCAGTTGATAAAACAGACCTGATGGCTCAATGGGGTAAGGATTAGCTTGTAACATTAATTAACTCCAAAAACAAACTAGTAATATCCTACCATCACCGAGCAGACCCTAAATTTTTGCCTATCGTGATGAATGATTGTTCGTTGAAGTACGGTCATTGCCTTGAACGTCTCTAGACCACGTGGAACTCCTATAACAATTACGACTGAATAGTGAGTTCAATCCTCACTGGGTACGCAATACATTCGGCCTTTTGCCGCATCTAAGCTACACTTGGAAAATCACTACAAGCCATCGCTAA